TTATAGCTAATTAGTATATATCAAAAATCAGCTAAAATTGAATTTACCTAATTTATAATAATTAGTTATATATTAAAATTAACCAAAATTTATCTTATCTTATTTATAGTCAATTAGCATGATCAAAATTAATTTGATAAATTTAAATACCAGATATATATTTTAAATCATTATTAATAATCATTACTGATATTATATAAATTGCATATTTATTATATAATTGCTAATCTATTTATTTATTTATTATTTATATTTAAAATTATAGCAAAAAAAATTCTCTTTATACTTTTTTATCAATTTAATTTTAATTGATATAGTGAACTTTTGATATAACGAATTTTTTGAACAAATATAAATAAAATACTTTTGTTATAGCAAATTAGCTAATCAAATCTCTTAACTTCTTCACTATAGTATTATAGCAAAGTTGAGATCTAAGACATAAAGTTCATTATAATAAGAGTTGAGTATAATTAAATTATTCAAAATCTGAATTTAATCATATATTTTTTTATCAAAATTAGTTTAGTATTTATAAAATAATTTATAAATTTATAATATTAATAATAAACAAATTTTATTTTTATTTTTTATTTTATTTTAATACTTTAATTTTAATAAATTAACTTTTAAAATCTAATTAAAGTTATTTAGTAAATTAAATTTAATTAAATTTTAATTTTTATTAAAATTAATTTAGTAATTTATTTTTTTGTAATATTAATAACAAAATTTTATTTATTTTATCATTTTAATTTTAGTTAAATAAATTAACTTTTAAAGTTTAATTAATATCATTAGCAGATCCTAATTTAATTGAATATTATTTTTATTAAAGTTAAATTTTGATTTCTATAAAAATAATTAAATTTTCTATTACTAATAATAATTGTATTTATTTATTTTATCATTTTAACAAAATTTTAATACTTTAGTTTAAGTAAATTAAATTTTAAAATTAATTATAAGTTAAAATTTAATTTATATTAATTTTCTTTAAGGTTAGTTTAATATTTATAAAGTAATTTATAAATTTTTAATACTAATAATAAATAAATTCATTTTTTGCATTTTGTTTTATTTAGCATTTAGTTCTAAAAAATTGACTTTTAAAGCTTAAATAAATTTGTATAGTAAATCTAATTTAATTAAATTTTAATTTTTATTATATTAATTGATAATTATAAAATAATTTACATTTTATAAAACTAATAATAAATGAATTTACTTTTACTATTTAATATTAGTTAATAATCTTGATATTTTAGTTTAAGTAAATTAACTTCAAAGCTTAATAAAAGTTATTCAGTATATTTAATTTAGTTTAATCTTAATTTTCATCAAATTTAGTTTAATATTTGTGAAGTTATTTATATTTTTTATAATACTAATATCTATTTAATAACTTAATAAAAATTTAAATTTAATAAAAATGGCTTACATCAGTTAAAAAGAAAAATTGTCTTTTCAATCAATTTTGAGATTTTTGGTTCATATGATATAAATTTACAATGTATCTTATTTTCACTTAATTTAGTAAATCAGAAAGCATAATAAATTTTTGAGATAATATTAAAAAAACTGAAATATGCATAATATTGATCATTTAGGAGTATTTCTAGAAAAATCAGGTTCTGAGAAATTTTTGACTAAAATTAAAAGCTTAATATATTTTAATCTAATAATATCAAAAACTAAAATGCAATAAAAATCTCAATTTCACTAAAAAATTTTCAGAACCTGATTTTCCTAGCAATTAACCTATTTATTTGATCACTAAATTATCTTATGAGATGATAGTCATAAGCCAACACAAGATCATGAATTTTATGACATCATAAACTTGAAACATTTTTACTTTTTATCCTTCACAGTATATTTGAATAGTATTAATTATACAAAAGCAAATTAAAAGGTAAATTTTGCATATTTTTTAAAAAATTTAACAAAAGAAATAATTAAATTTATTATTATTACTTACTGTATTACTCAGTTTATTACCCTTTTTTATTTTTCTCTAAGTCTAAAGATACAAATTAGATATAAAGGTTAGTTTACAATACTTATCTTCATGTCTAAAATTAGATTATGTGAATTAAATTAGATTATATCAGTAATACATAAATGTCTGATTTAATTAATTTTAATCTTATTTTTATTTATTTATTTTTTATTTTTATTATTTATTTTTTATTTTTATTATTTATTTTTTATTTTTATTATTTTATTTTTTTATTTTTTAAAATAGAATCTAAATAAATGGACAAAATTAAATAAACAGTCCCTAAATAAACAAATGTAAGATAGTTCTATTTTTTAATTGTTTATTTTTATTTTTGGAAAATATAATTTAACATTTTCTATTCATTTTATTAAAAATAGAACTAGACGAATAAATAAAACTAAATGACTAGCCTCTAAATAAATGAACTAATAAGATCTCAGCTTTGCTATTAGATTATATTAAAGATTTTAAGAGATTTAATTAGCCAATTCACTATAATAAGAGTATTTTTATTATATTTATTCAAAAAATTTATTATATTAAGAGTTTGCTATATTAAGAGTTGATAGTATACTAATTTATTATTAATTTTATAATTATATATATTAATTACTAATTGTAAATTAGTTATAATTTATTTATTTGTAATAAATTGATAACAATTTTTTTTTAATAACTAATAAAATAAAAATTTCTTGATTAATAAACAATTATTATTATAAAAATTTAATTTTTTTTAATATATTAAATTTATATTAATATAATTAAATATCAAATTAATATGTTAAAAGATTTTTGTTTTTTCATTAATCATCTTTTACTATATTTTTTAAAAAACATAATATATTGTTTATAAGATAAAAGTAAAATATTATCTTAAAAATTTAATAATTAGAATTTTTAATTTAATTAAATATAAATAAATTTATTAGTTTTAATTAAATTTTTTTATTCTATATAGTATATAATAAATAAATAATAAATAATAAAAATAATAAATATATTGTATTAATTGTAAAATAATAATAAAATTTGATATAACGAACTTTTATTTTTTTATTATTTAAATTGATATATTAAAAAAAACTCATTTTTCTGAATTTTCATTATAACAAATTAAAAACGCTAAGCTAACAGATTTATTATATTGAGTTTTAAATATAGATCTAAATTTTGATTCACTATTATTCTAATTAAATAATTCTTATCATTCAAAAAAAAACAAAAAAAAACAATTTATTATCATTCTTAAATAATTTGTAACTAAAATATTATTTTTTAATTATATTTGAATTAATACAGATTTAGATTTAAAATGATCTGATAATTTAAATTTAAGATTTGATCTATTAGATTTGAATTTATATTTGAATTTAACCTGATCTGTTAAATTTAAATCAAATTAGATCTATAAAAATAAATATCAGATTAGATTACATTTTGCAAAATATTAATTATAACTTTATTTTTAAAATAATATATGATCTTTATAATAAAAAAAGAAAAAAATGACAAAAAAAAATTAATGTTAAATCTAATTTAATATATAAAAATAAAATTAATTTATTTAAGTAATTTTTTTTTTTTTATTATAAAGATCTTAAATATTAAATATTAAATTATATAATTTAAATTTTTTGTTAAAATTTTATTTTTAAAAATTTAAAATATGTTATTTATTAAACTTTATAATACTATTTAATATAAATTTAAATTTATTAAATAATTTTAAATATAAATTAAAAAATAAAAGATTAATTATTAATAATAATTATTTAATATTTAATTTATTATTATATATTAATTTATTTTATAATTTTATAATTTATTTTTATATAGATATAACTCTTATTTTTTAATTGTAAAATAAGTTAAATTGAATATGAATAAATTAATATAATTTTGATTAATAGAAATGATATTTATTTATTATATCATTAAATAAATAATTGTTTCTTAATATTTTATAATTTTTATAATAAAAATCAAATATTTTCTTATTAATAAATTGTTATAATTTTAAGTTAACTAAAAAATTAATTATAATAATAATATTATATTTTTTAATCAAAATTTTTATTTTAATTATAAATATTTAATAAAATCTATTTAACATTTATTAGCTACTTTTTAATAATATAATTAAACCATTATAATTTATATAGTATCTTGTCTGATAGTTGTAATTCATAAGGATTACATATTAACTTTATTTTAAAAATATTAGAATTATAATTTAAATTAAAAAAAAAAATATTATTTAATAAAAAATATTTTTATATTATTCTTTATGAATTTTTAATGATAAAAATTCAATAATCCTTTAATATTATTAATTAAAGATAATATTTTATTATTTATTAAATTTAGTAAAATAATTTTAGTTTTCTATTAATTACATTAATATAATATTATTTAATCTTATTTATTAAATTTGATTATTTGGATTAATATAATTATTTAATACTTTAAATTCTTAAAAAAATATTTTTTATATAATTAATTTATATAAAATATATAAATATTATACATATTATAAAATGGGTTAAGAAAAATATTAATATAAAATATCAAATTGATTTAAATGAAAAAAAAATATGATTATGCTACATTTTTATTAATAAAAGTGGTATTATTCAGATTTTTTTTTTTTGATTTAGATATTATGTAATTAAATTAAAAAATACACAAAAATTTTCAATGATAGAAATCAAAATCACGTGATATTTTATTAGGTATATTACAAAGTTGTAGGCAATAATGCAGTTAGTGCAGTCAATACATTATAATAAATAATATAAAATTAATACAAGTACAATGTCAATTTTATCTAGTACATACAAATTCCACAACCCTGGTTGTAGGTTACATATGCCAAGTTTAGGTAGAAATACTTGTCATTCTTGGTTCAGGTAAAACATGTTCATCAAACCGCGTAAAATCTTCTTTCTAGCTTCCGAATTTACCATATTGAGACTCCCTTACATCTTTCAAATTAGTGCAAATCAGATTGTGACGAATACTTATTATTCCTCGTGAATGTTGCTTCGTCTCGATCCTTCAAACATTCAAATACTTCTAATCCACCTGTATTATCATGTTCAAAATCATAAGAATACATTATATTCTCTGACACCAGGATGAACGTAACCTTTTCATGCAACCAAGTTAACCCGTAAGCACAGTGCCATTACACGACTTCGTGTTCACTCCTTAATCGAAAATCATGCCTCGCATTCAATCGCTACACTGTAAATCCCTTAACTCTTAATTTTGGACCTTCACCTTCCTCTGTTTGGACAAGCCTTGGATGACCTTTTGCACAGTTGTACATTATCGATAAAAAAGCAATATGATCATTCACGTCTCCGTTATGTGGGAGATATTCCAGTGAGTCATCAAAAAATGTAATCGTTCGTTTTCTAACTTTAACCGTTTACAAAGGAACGATCGATCCGGGAATAATATTACTCACAGTTCTCATTATGCGTGCAATATGAATTACTGTACAGAGGATGGTAACACTTTCTCGGCTGTTTTGATTACAATCGATTTGAAAGCGGAAATAATCGTTTTAGCGGATTTGCGTTTAGAGATCCATCGATTGATAGAAACGCAAATTTAGTCCTATTACGGCGTAACTTATCATAAATTGTATGTTTCCAAATACAAAGGATCAAACTTATTGAATTTGTCTTCAGTTCACACAAATCATTAAATTCGGCTTTCTCTGTAGAAGTACACCGTTAGTCCAACATAAAAAATCTGGTCTTAACCTTACCTATCATAATCGTTCCTTGATCCAATCCATTTCAATTGGAATCACTTATCTACGCGAAAAATCTGAAGCTGGATTCTCAGTATATCATGTGCCAACTAAGTTGTGCTTTCGACTAAGACTGGAAATGTTTTGCCATCACTTGTTTGGATAGATTCAGAAAATTGAGTACGAGCATCACAGATCAAGGCAGTCCTGTAAACTTATTTCATCGTAACAATAAACGTAATTTCGTTTAGTACGCTTCAAAAAGAATTAATGAAGTATTACGACGAATTTTTGTAGGTTAGAATCAGAAAAGAAAAGCAAATGTATTGGCAAATTAACGCGGCTCTATCAAAAATGGCGTTGAATAAATTTATTACGACTCACCTGACGTGAATGTTTATGGGGCGATGTTTAATGATAAATAAGCAGGAAAAAAAACAGAATTAGTAAGTTCTCAGTATTTTTACTAGAAATATGACAGTTTATTAGTGATGTTATTCTAACAAGTCAGATAAATGTTGCCTTGGTTTCTTTGATTCAGATGAAGAGACGTATTTATTTGATAACTTACGTGAAAATTTTGAAGGATGGTATATTCTCGCAAGTTTTAATTTTTTATAGCGTTGTTTCATTTCGTCTAAAGTGAGGTGTTTAATTTCGATATGACAAGTTGCCATTAAAGTGAGAAATCGATTGTAGCACAGATTGATAATTTGTTGATTCACGATCACGCTATTACGCAATTCTGGTAGTTGCAAATATAAACATGACATGGACTTGCCATTATCTCGATTTATGCCGTTTAAATTTTTTCTAATACCACATGCAAAAAGTAAGAATATTGCAAATTACATGAAATAGTTCAATGAAGTGCTGTCGATATAGATTGTCAAAACTATATCTAGTTCTTATAGTAAAATTTACTATTATGAAACATACATGTCGAACCTAATTGTTTGCTGGATGAATTTTAACTATTATTACGATTTTTCCTAATAAAAAAATCCTAAATCTTTAAAGTTTAATAACTTCAGTTTAATTTCTTGAAAATAACAAAGAAAAAATTTTTTTATTCAGAGAGTTGTCCAAAAAGATTTATTTATTATTTCTTGAAGCGTAAATGATATTTTCTAAACCTAATTCTGGGAAGCCAAAACTATGGGAACCACCCAAAGCAGATTTTACGGGTGATTTTGTCGCTTCGAGGTTTTAGGGTTTTTGCTTTTGGAAAACGAGCTGTTACATGAAAGAGACAATAATTTCGGATATTTTTGTAAAATTTGGAGTGAAGGTATTGGGAAGAGTCTAAGGTTATTTAAAGTATAAAAATGTATCGATCTAGTTAGAAGTTTATTATAGCAATTGATATGACTAGATATAGTTTTGTCAATCTACACACCCCATCCTGAGTCCTTTTCATTTTATGTATAAACATGCAGAATCAGTACTATGGATTAAAGAATCGCTGCGATATAATCGACATATAACCGACCACGTGATTGTCGATAAAAATTTTTTCGATTATAGAGATGCTCTTTTTAATATAACAAACAAATTTTGCCTTGTCTATTTATTTATTATAACCGAAAATTTAAATTTAATTAAAACTGAAGCTTTACTTAAAATTTGTTATAATCTAAAATTATAGCTAATAATAAAACATCAGCTTTCCAATAAAAATATTAAATTTGATTTGATCAAAAAAAAAATTGGGTTTTTGATTTTGATTATTTATTTGAACTTGTGAAAAAAATAACAAAGAAAACATTATTTCATTTGGTTGCATAAATTTTAATGAATTATTATTTAAAATTTAGAGTTTTTTTTTTTTTTTTTTTTTTTTTTTTTTTTTTTAAAGAAATTTGCATTCTTCAAATTTTTCTAAAGAATTTATCCAATTGTTTCTGAAATAAACGGTGTTTTACTTATTCAAAAAATTGATACCTTTAATTTCCTTCTCGATAAAATAAAAAAGAAAAAGTAAATAAAAAATCAAAAACAAGTTTAATGGATTTTATTCTACATCATAAATACTGAAATTCTTTTTGTCTGAAATCTTTTCGGTATATTTATTAAAATGAATGCTAAATAACTAAGTTAAAATTTTATCACTTTTATTGGATTGGATATGGGCCATATCGGTCACCGCCCAATCTATACTTACTTACGAATACTAAATTCAAAATATTGTTGTATTCAGTTCTTTCGTTTATGTATTTATAAACAATTTTGTAATGTAACCATAAGGTATTGATGAATAATTATTGAATAAAAATGAAGTAATTGTGACAAGTATTTATTTAATAATACCAAATTAATCAGTGTTGTTGCCTCAACGTCGACGCTCTAAAATTTCGCTATGTCAATATATTAAAACTAAGTAAATGCCAAGTAATAAATTCTAATTAATTAAAACTGCGCTATTACATAAAATTGAATAACAATATACTAATAAAATCGGGAATTAATAAAATAAAAATAATAAACGAAATTACAAATGCGAAAATTATAAAGTTAAAACGGCGAAATCGAAATTATCGCGGTGTAAAAGGAGGATTTCGAAGGATGTAGATCAGTTTAAGGATTTCCAGCTCGGTATATATATAAAAAAAAATAATTAAGCCAGCCTGGCATCTTCAAACTGGCACCTTGAAAACCTGGCATCTTGACAGCCTGGCGCGACAACACCGTGACAGCCTGGCAAATGATCGTCAAAGAGACCAACTGTAATTATCAAAAGCGATTTACATGCGGAATTATGAAGATTTCGGCCGGAATTATATTCAATTGTAACAATATGTCAAAATTGAATAATGCTATTAAAATCACGTTACGGATCATATGATTTACTATGTTCGTAGCTTGATTTTAATAGCAAACCTGCCATATTTTATAAATAATTATTATAAAAATGAGAATTACCATATTATATGCTAGAACTAAAATCTTTTAATTTTTTTTTCTGTAATTAATCTGTTGACTAAATGAAATTATAAATTTAATATATAAATAAGGCAATTAAGAAAATTAGTATATAAATCTAGGATGGGAACGTTCTATACTTGTTACCCATACCTATGGGATTTGGGACAACACCCAATGCCCATTGAGTTATAACCTATGGGAGTTAGA